TATAAATAATAAATTAAAATTCAAGAACTTTTGAAAGAAAGAAAAATTATTAATATTGATTGAACTGCTCATTAACTGAATAATAGTAAGTAGATTTGTTTGTTATATTATAAGTTTTGAGCTTGAATTTAAGTAAATAAGGTGAATTTTTTGCAATAAATGCATCAAATGAAAGGTAAATGACTAATGTTATAATACTCAAGAAAAAAGTAGCCCAGTCTAATAAAAGTTGACTCAAATATCCTTGAACATTGGAAAAAAAAAAAAAAGTCCCTTCAAGTAATTACATGAAAAGCTACCATAATACTTATTGCCTTTTTTTTTTTTTTTAACTGGACATTAATAAATAAAGACAATGGCAAACATTCATATCCATTTAAGATGCGTCGAAGAATCCTTTAAAGTTACACCTCCAAAGTCATAATCACGAAGACTTTTTTGTCTTAGCTGTGGCGTTATGCATCGTGGCAGTGGTATAACAATAAACTAATTATTAAATTGGCACTAGGTAGCTTGGCACAACTTTATTTTAATGATTGACTAGAGGAAGAAGATATGAATGCGGGTTTGGTTTTAGGTTAAAAATGTAAATGTAACTTTTTAATGTTTATCCTTTTTTATCTCCTTAATTTGATAATTTTTCTGGAAGAAAAGAAAATAGTAAGGAGGTTAACACTTAATCCGCTTGAGAGGACTAAGAATAGAGAAGAAAATAGTTAGGGAGGAGGGGAATCTTGGAATTTGAACATTTTCTTTTGAATATCTCTTTTACTCAAACCCTGTAATTAGATCCCATCATTATTACTTCTTTTTTTTTTTTTACACGTATAATAAACATCCTTAATATTTTATTTTTTCAGTCACTTCTTCACTTCTTTAGCCCTTAATCTCCTATACCTAATCCCTCAACACTTAACCTCCATATTTTAACTCCAAATGAAATAAAACCTTATAGTTATAATAGTTATGTTTTTATCTCTGACTTTGTAGTTAGCGACCCCATTACTCGGAATTGCACATGATTTTCTATCTTCGTATACAAGGCCAAACGCTCTGTGATGGTGGACAATATAATTAATAACCATTTATAAAACCTAAAATATATAATCAAATTCAATGTATTAGTTAATTTGCCATCAACCTATAGCCGCTAAGTGAAAATTGACCAGAAGGAATGTTTTGAAAGTGATGGATATTATCTTACAGTTGTAATTTTGTTTTCTTCAAAGACCTTTTGCCGCCCGTCACTTGATGCACATGATATTCTTCATCATGATTGGAATTAGTGTATAAATATTATATAACGATAGATTGGTTTTGTGATTCTAACTGTTTTATTCGTTTGGGAGTTGTCTTCTTAACAATATTTAGGTTGTGGTTGAGGGGTTAGGAACATGCGATCATGTTGATGAGGGAGTATTAATTTTGCTTACCGCGTAGAAAAATCAAGCGAGTGGACACGCACATATGGTAAGGATCTTAGAGCATATTGGCATATTGTTATTCGAAGATAATACGATGGTAACCAAGTATCGTGCCTGGAAAAAAAAACTGATAATAACAAAGTTGAAAGACTTTTTTTCCTTGGATGAGAACAAAATAGATGGATTCATCAAAATGAAAGCAAATATCGAAAGAGTTGCTATATTGTGGATCGAACGACAGCAATAAAATGTTGCAGTTTGAATCAAATCACTCAAATGTATGTTGGTTTTCTCATCCCATATTATTTGGGGACCATTGTATATTTGTGTTGGCGCCAATGATGAAATCAATTAATTTTTAATGATTTGTCAATTTTTTGGGTTAGACAATGTATTAGAACTTAAACCTAACGCTTCAGTCTTGTAATAATGACTTCATATATGATCTCCATTGATGCCTTTTTTGTAATACTAAGCCATGTCTGTTTTTTTTAATAAAATATATATGGATCAATTTTTACATAAGTTGAAATTAAGTTTATTATTTTTTAAGTTAAACTAACACTACAAGGAAATTGATATTTAGTGACAAATTCAATTCCGTCACTAATTGAAGACAAATTAACAACGGATTAACGACGGATCTGGAAGAAAGTAATTTTTACGTGTGATTAGCGACGGAATAGCGAGGGATATTCATTGACGGATTTAATTACGTCGCTAAATAACGCGATAAAAAAAACACCACGTTTAGCGACGGATTTATTCCGTTGCTAGAAAATTTGTCTTGGGTTGAATTTGGTACAAATTAGCGATGGAATTGTAATCCGTTGCTAATTTGAATAACAAAATTAACGACAGATTTGGCAATTCGTTGCTAATTGAAACCTAAAAACGGGTAGGTTTTTTGAATTTAGTGACGGATTTTGAATCCGTCGCTAAATAGCAACGGATTGCTAGATCCATCGCTATTTTCGCATTTTTGGCACCTTCGAGGGAAATTTCAAAATTCAAATTAGTGGTAGATTTGGATTCTATTGCTAATTTGAATTTTCAAATAGTGATGGATTCTAAATTTCGTCGCTATTTTGGCAAATGTTGTGAAAATTGGAGACCATTCCAAGCACCTTTGAGATTCAAATTAGTGATGAAATCTTGTTCGTCGCTAAAAACTATCCCTATAAAAAGGGTAGTTTCTCCTTTTCTTCTCCATTCAGCTCTCCCTCTCCTCCACCCAAAAACCTCGCCGATTAGCCGTAAAACCACTCTTCACGCCGCCCCACGCCACCTATTGCCTCCCTAGACCATTCAACTTGGTGAGGTGCATCTTTCTCCCTCAAAATTCGACGAAATCATTGCTCTCTCGCCTTGATCTCTTTGGTAAAACTTTATCTCTCGAACTCTTTTGTTTTTTTTTTTAATTAAATGAATCTTATAAATTTTTAGGTCACTTTTGTTATATGTTAGTTGATCAATTATTTATTTAATTTTTTTATTTATCAGTTTAATTTTTTAATAATTATTTGAATGTTGTTATTTTATTGTTATGCTAATTTTTAATTATGTTAATCTGTATGTTAATTATTAGTGAAAATTTGTTAATTGTTTATTTAATTTATTTAATTATTAAATTAATTTTGTTAAGTGTTATTTTTTAACTTGTGTTAATTTTTATGTTAATTTTAACTTTAAAAAAATTTAATTATGTTAATTTTAACTTAAACATTTTTAATTATGTGAATTTTTACATTTAATTTTATTAATATAATTTAGTTAAGGTTGATTTATTTTTAATGCATTTGTAATTAATTTTTAGGTTAAAATTTAATTATTAAAAAATTAAGTGCAAGTGAAACAACATAAGCTCCAAAACCTAGTCTCGCAGCAACGAGGCGATTATACATAGTCCGAAATCTCGGTATAGCACGATGACATTCTTAGCGATGAGACCGGCACGGACAATCGAGATGTCCGTAGATCTATTGACCAATCGGCATTCTATCGTTCCTTCAACGTAGCCTCCCGTTCAGCCTTCGGTTGATTCTCCAACCGAGCCCTCCACATAGTATCGGGAGGAGGATATGGGATTAGATGAGCATGATAAGTTATAGAACATTGCATTTAATGATTTTTTTCCGAATATACTACCGAATGTTACTCGTTAATATTAATTTATTTTCAATCTATACGTAATTATTTGTACTTTTTAATTATTACATATAATATTAATTATTAATTATTAAATGCAATATTAATAATTAAAAAAACAAAATGCAAAAAAATATATATTTTTTAAATAGCAACGGAATAACGACGAATTAGCGATAAATTCTCCTTTTCATTTTAGCGACGGAATAGCTACAACTATAGTTAGCTACGGATATTAATGATGGATTTTCACTCGCTATTCAGTGACGAAATTAGCAACGAAACCTTCGATCGATTCTACGATAAAAATAGCCACGTAATGCATTTAGCTATCGCTAAAAATTAATGACAAGTGAAATAACGACGAACATATTGTCCATTGCTAAGGCATATCGAGACAGATTTAGAGCAATTAGCGACGGAATAATTCGTCGGTTATTGGCTCTTTTTTGTAGTGTAATACCAGAATCCGTTTAATTTTCAATTGATCACTTGACTTTTGTTTAGATTAAATAGACTCAAGTTTGGTACCAATGAGAGAATGATTATAACTAATTATTTATGAATAGTTAAAATTAAAACCTTAAACTTAATCAAATTAAAATAATTTTCTTACCATTAAATCACATCTGTTGATGGTTCTGATTCATGTGGTTTATGTTTATCTAAATAGCGTCCAGCAATCACATTGATGTGAAATGAATAATTTCTGTTGTGGATGAAAAGTCCATCTTGATGGTCACTGCGGCAAGAGACCCCACCGTGGGTACAAATGCTGGTACAACTAATATCCAACCAGACTATCATACTATTAACAATAAACAAACAAGTGATACTTAAGAAATTATTAAGAATAGGAAGTTTGAAACCAGGCTAAAGCCATAAGGAAACATAGGAAAGAACACAAAAGAGAAGATGGAAAAGTATAATTTCTTGGTGTGTTGGGAGAGTATATTAATAGAGAGACAGAGAGGACAGATTCAAGTGCTATAGTCACGCAGCTGTCATTCGATATTACAAATCCACCCCTCCCTTCCTAGCTAGCTATCTTCTTTCTTAGACAGCAAATAAGAGTTTGCAGCTGTCGGATTCTCTCTCTCTCTCTCTCTCTCTCTGCGGGTGTTAATTGAGCAACCAAACCCCAACCTAACCTATTTGTTATCAAAACAACTCATCAAGTAATATTAACGACAGCATCATAGACTAGCATGCTAGCTAATTAAGCTCCATCTAGCCATCACTTTCTTTGTGTCAAATTTCTCGCAATAATTCTTTGTAGTGAAGAAACGGAATATTGATGGAAATAGAGGCGCAAGCAAAGACAATGAGGTGGCGGAGAAGAGAAGCTGCCACAGTTATCTGAGTGACGTGCCAAGGGTTCATGCATGAACAAGGATACTCATTTGTCATTTTGATGATTTGCATGCCATGGCTTATCCACATTATCGATCTCAGTTTGGAGATACAACGTTTACGAAAGTGTTTGTTGGGGGGCTAGCTTGGGAGACCCCAACTGAAGAAATGCACAGATACTTTGAGCAGTTTGGAAAGATTCTTGAAGCTGTTATCATCACAGACAAAAACACAGGAAAATCTAAAGGATACGGATTTGTAAGTTATCATAAATTCCCTTATTAAATTGTTCAAACCATGCTGAGATTGCAAAAAAAATAAAAATTAGGCCTTATTTTGATCATCATCATCATCATATATATATATATACAGGTGACTTTTCGTGATCCAGAATCAGCAAGAAGGGCTTGTGCTGAACCAAACCCTGTGATCGATGGTAGAAGAGCAAATTGTAATATTGCTTCACTTGGACGGCCGAGACCTTCCCCGCCTCGAGGTTCAATTATTATTTTGATTGATTAGAATTAAATTATTTATCAACTATCATATAATGAATCAATGCCATTTTGTTTGAACATCTATTCACTATTAATAATTAATTGTTTGTAAATTTGTTTGTTGTTGTTAATTCAGGAAGACCCCAAGGTGGCAGTCCTTACCAGCGAAGTGCACCACCGGGTGCACCATCATACAGCGGAGTTGCAGCACCATTTCCTCCCCCAGCTCCTCTTGCTCCCCCACCACCACCGCCTGTCCTCTATCCACATTACGGGTTAGTTGTTACTTTCTGATTTTCTAAAGCTGATCATTGTCCACATTACTTAAGAAATGGTCCATACCTTAAAAGAGGAATAGGCATACGCTTTTTCCTCTGTTTCGTTTTCTACTCTCGGTATAGTTGTTATCAGCCTGTAAACAAAACTTTATAGTAATTGACTCGGCAATAATACAACACCACAAAAAATAAATAGATAAAGCAATAAAGACTTTGTAACGAAGGGGGTTACAATGCTCTCCCCCAAGCGCATAAACTTTACAGTACATTACCTCAGGACAGCTACTATGCAGCAACGTGACCCACCTGGTCTTGATCAATGGAACTTAATTGCATGACATGATTTAATCAAGGAAATGAATTTTTAACCTGAAGGTTGGAGCCAGAGAAATTAAGGAAAATAGTATCTAGCTAATAATTTGGCCTAGAAATCATATTCACAACATTAATGTCATACAACTCACAATAATGTGAAAAGACAAACTTTGAGCAGATTGTTAGGGCCAAAGAAGTTGACAAACACAATATCTAATTATTTAGCCTAGAAGTTAACAGACTATAGTCCATGCATGTACGTATTGCGCTTGCAAAATATACATAGCCTTTATACTAGTATACAACTATAATCAGCTATAATCTTTTTTCTTTTATATTCAAAACAGGAATATTAATTACACAACTTGTAATAATTTGAACAGCAGAAATTAAAATGCAACTCTTGAATTAAGAGAAGGCAACAAGAGTACTACGTACACCTAGTTGCTAGTTTGTGCTATACTATTCTGTCCATGCGGTTCTCTGTACATTAGTCTAATGTGTACAGATAGATGACCAGTAATTGCGCGAGATCCATTTTGCACCTTAGCTCCCACGCATTTATGGGTTGTAGTTGCTCTCCACATGCAAGTCAAAACCAACTCTGCATTTAAATACGCAGTATCTTGATTTAAACAAAGTGAAAATGAAAGCTTCGTCACTTCCTTACCACCATATATATGTTCTGGAAGTGTTTGGTCGCAGTCCTATCTGTAGAGATTGTTTAGAACGAAGTTATGACTTATAAGACAAAAGTTAATTTTGTCTCGACTCACTCCCTCTCCGCCTCTGTATATACCATGCGAAGTCCAGTATTTTTTAAGCTTTTGATTTCTAGGGTCGATGGTAAATGTACTCGACGATCATTTAGTAATTTTCTCCTTGCTACATTTCTAGTATGAAATCTTGGAAAGGAAGAGAATATTAGTACCATACAATCAATCAATTTGAGCATATCAAAATATTAAGAAATTTTAAAATACTGCACTAGTTATTTTATATGTTCATTTAAAAAAAAAGATAAAAAAACTACATTTGAATCCGTCAAAAGAAGAAAATATTAGCATCATACAATCAATTTGAGGATATCAAATATCTATCGGTCTATATATTATTTTCTGCATTGCTTTTACACAAAACAGAGCCTCAATGCCTTATCTCTACGTTCAATTTGTTGTTAACAGATAGATACACACACACATATACATCCGCACCGATATTCTTAGAGATGATTACTAGAGAATTAATTTCTATGATCTTTTTTATTATTAATACTTGGAGCTATATATTATATGGTGTTGGCTCAAACATGCGGCCACACCATACACTTATTTACGTATCTATTTTATTAATTAACTAGACGATCATTAACTTAACGTGTTGCGAGAGAAAAACCATAAAATCTAATTTATACATAACAAAAATTCTAAACATGAGTTTGATATCTATCTTAATAGGCATAAAGAAATTCACAAAACAAAGCATATAATAATGGATTAGAAACATTGTTTATAATTTAAAAAAGAGTAAATATGAATTCTAAAAAAACAGATCGATACTAAATTGAGTATTAAATAAAACTTGTAAAGAAAAAATAAATAGAAAGAGCATACCTGATTTTAAGAAAACATGACCAATTTGTGTTATAAAAGAATTATTTTGAGATTAAAGATTTATTAGATTCGTTATAAGATTATATATATAAGAATAATATTAATTTGTGCAATTAATTTGATTTTTAAGTAAACACTAATACTAGTACTAATTTGTCTAAAAATTTATTATCAACTCTAGAAATCTTATGCGACAATGCTAGAATCAAAATAAATTCCTAAAATCTTTAGAAAAAAGGATATTAATTAGTCGGGGGCAATTACCTCTGTAAAGCTGTTCTGATGGCAATGATCTCATTCTACGAATAAAAGATATATGTCAAATTTACAGTCACGATAGAGATGGAGCCTAGCTCTCGGTCCGCTTAATTAAAGACTTTTTATCCATTTGGTATTTCCCTGTCATCTAGTTGATAATGGGATAAGAGAGGGAGAAGTTTTCTCTCTTACTTTGATTGCGTTGTCTATGCATTCGGTAAAAGGAAAATGATAGTGACACGGGTTAATGGAAATCTTTAAGTAGCCTTAATTAAATTGCCCCACCCGCATACCTCACAGCTATATATGGGCCAATAATGTACATCTGATTCTTATTATTATTGTTGTTGTTTTTTCAATGATAAAAATGCACACTAGCTACTATTTTGAATTACCAATTAATAAAAACAAGATATTATTTTGATATTTCCCTGCTTCATGGCAGCAGCTAGCAGATGTTACGTACCATGCTTGCCCGGACAGTAGGAATTATCGTTCATTTATTTATTTACTACGTAGAAATAAATTTCCTTTATATATATTGGAGGAATTAATTTAAGTACTGCACCCAACATAGCAAACGTTATTATTGGCAGCAGTTGCTATCGTAGTGGGTTCCAACGGCAGTACCGCAATTAAATTCGCGATGCTACCCACTTCCTCAATTAGAGTAGCAACTTACAGAAATTAATTGGATTCCAAGTAATTTTTTCCCTTTTATACTAACTTTCATTGATTCTATTCTGCAGGTATCCAACCTACACTCCTGAATATGGGTACCACCAGGTGAGCACTTAGCGCACCCGGCCCCCCTCTGCTTGATTATTGATTTTTAATTATAAGGAGAAAAATAAGAAAATTACAAACAATAGATAGTTAGGTAACATTAATATTATTGTGGATGCAGGCATTGTATAATACACAAGTTCAACAGCCAGCTCAATACTACCATCAAATATACGGGACATCATCATCCACCATGGGCCCACCATACTATTATGGCTACTCTCTGCAAGCTCCAAGGGGAACACTCTCTGCACCCCAGGCTCCACGAATACCTGGACCGTCTTATTTATACTACCCAGCTTCAATGGAGGGGTCCTTCTCTTCGTTTCCTTCTCCAACTATTCAACCCACAAGGCATCCCTTTCCCTCTTCTAGTACATCTGGTACGCACTTTACATACATACATATATATATAATCAGGAAAAAAAATTACATAAGATATATAATGATGGTAGAAAATTTTAAACCCCGGCCCATTACTGAGACCTGTAAGGTTGGACATTACGTTTGATTTAGGCATTCATTCTTCTTTTCATATGGACTTAATTATATAATATGCATACGTAGATAATGTTAAATATTAGGGCAATTGTGTAGCTAGCTAGCATGATACCGAGGGGCCGCATGGGCAACCTCAACCATGTGGGTGAGCTGTGTGGTTATCTGTATGACCGAAATAATGGGTCAATGTAAAGTAAGGACAGAGGAGCATGTTGTGTAAACAAATAGGGAGTGCATGTGGTTTCAGTATCACGATGATAGTTGATTCTGAGATGCAGTCAAGTGGTGGTGTATGTAAAGAGGCCCACCACGCATGTTATATACTGTCATACATTGCTTTTTAAGTATTTAAGAATTACCACACTAACTCTTTTTTGTTTTTGGGACCAATAGATGACTACAATTAGTAAATGATGGGATTTCTTTCTCAAGGAAAAATAAAAAATAAAAAAGATGGGATTTCACAGGGAAAAATTCGTGTATATTACCATCTTGGTTGCTCATGCATTTGAGTTCAAAATAAAGCTGCATTGGAAAATAATAGAAATGTGACTTTTGGTAGAAGTGTCAAACTTATTCTACTTAACACAAAAAATTGAACTGTCTCCTAACCTTCATATATAGATCACAAACTCACTAATATTTTTAGTGCATTTTAAGCAAAAAATAATTTGTCAATAAATTTTAAGAATTAATTTTGTAAGTTTAAACTTTTAATTACTAAGTTAAAAAAACTTTAATACCATATTAAATATTGACCACTAATCCATTCAAAAAATATACATAGGATTTTACATGGAGCACATCCTCCCTAATCTGTAATCTCCATCTTTAACAATTACGACATGTATTGAAAGCTTATTTTACATGGAGCACATCCTCATGTAATGCCATAGTGCTTTGTGATGCTTGCTCTCAACGCTGTCAAAAGCACAGAAATATATACTGATTTGTTTATTCAAATTAAAGAAATATTTAGTAAAGATTTATCTTATTCTGAAAACAAAGTACCGTTTGCTTTTAAATTATGATCGATCTGCAGGCTAAAAATTAGAAGGTTAATAATTGATGCCATCGATAATTACGCCAAATGAAGGGTCATTAAACTTATAATTGAGGGAGGTATTTAGAATCTTTGAGGGAAAAACTTTGATTTTTTCGTAATTTTCCTCTTTCTTAAATTCATAAATTATATTTTTGCTTCTTTTTTTTTTAATCTAAATAGTACTTATAAGATTCACCGACGCACGTACACATTGTTTTATATTTCTTAAATTTAATTACAACTACCCTCAGCACTCTTATATTTTTTTCTCTAAAAATATATAGTATATACTTTAATTTTATTTTTAAAACACCTTCCAAAAAAAAACTGATTTTTGGTGCGCTAAAGCTTCTAAAGTAGGTTTGGTTATATTGGCAAAAGCAGGATTTTTGAAGCAGTCAAAACCCAATCATTGAACATGGAAACCTAATTTCCGTACATCAATGTGGAGACAGATAACAATAATTATTATGATGCTTGAAAGAGCAAGGAACCAGCTCAATAAGTTAACGAAATTGATGTGCAGCCAGGATTGATAGCCTTTTGTTTCCGTTTGCTTTCAAAAATGACCTTAAGCTTACCAAAATATTTTGTTGCAATAATGTTTGAATTAAAGATGGCAAGTAACATCAGTTTTCCTCGCAGTCAATTTTATTACTATATGCTGATTAATATCAATGGTTGTTGCTATTGCATTTGCAATTTGAACAACCATTAAGCTTTTGGATAGAACAGTTATATGATAAATATTGTAAGCACAAAGGGTACTGTGGCTTTTGCCTAACACTAAAAAACAGCGATACCCACACATACGATATTTATGCCTGACTCCGTGTGTGTGTGTGTGTGTTGAATTATTTCATCGATCTTGGACGATAAATCGGATTTGGAGATTGACTATTTGTTGTTTCTTTCTTTAATGTCTTGGTAGTAACTTGTGTCTATAGGTTGACACTCTGATATACTGCAATTTAACTTAGTTACTTGATGTCTGTCCTCAGATTCAACAACTCCACAGCATACCACCACGGAAACAGAAACTGGTGCTGTTACTTCAGAAAGTCCAAATACCTAAGACAAGATCTCAAAAACACACACATGTTTCTGGGACAAGCTTAATTTGTATAATCTTGATAACTTCACGTTCTTCGTCTCTCAAATTCTCTCTCTTCTATTTTCAGTCCAAATTAATTCAAGCTGTAGCCCTAGGTGAGTGCTGCTGCTTCAAAGAGACTATATATTCGCGTTCTTCACTGCTACACGAAGAAAAGATGGACTAATCAACCACCATATGGAGATCCTTATTTATTCTTTTTCATCAAAAAAAAAAAAAATTCTATAATTCTTTTTCATGTTTATTTGAGTTGATCATTCTTAAAGTACAATAGCTAAACGTATTTGACAGAATGTGTATGACAAATACAAGGAAGTGAGAACAGTCCCTCAATAAGAAATTTTGTTATAAACCAACCATTCAGGTCTCATGTGTTTTTTGCTTCCTGCGTCGCCCTTCCTTGAAAACATTAATTATCCTTCCAAAATGTAGATGTTGTTATAAATTTTAATTTCATTGATTTTTTGTTAAACAAAACGCATTAGTTTCTTATTTAATCCGGTAATTTTTTATATTTTTTTATCAAAGATAAATCTTTTCATTAAGAAAAAAGAGAGATAAATATTTATATATAATCAATCCGAATTATTATCGACATCAAGAAAGATAGATCTTAATGTTTAAAATGTTCTTCTATATTTTTATTCAAATTATAATGATTTTTATATAAAAAATAACGTCTGAAAAATGAAAATGATTTAATAATAAAATTTATATAAAATATAACTTAGATGAAAAATCGATACTATCCGATAGTTCAGTGTTATATTTGTTGCTTGAAAAAAATGAATCACCATTTACCAAGAGACTCAATTTTAGAAGGACGCTTAAGATGTCAACCATAGAGCTCCTATGTGGATGGACATGATGCGACCCCACAAGTTTCCCTTCTAATTACACTCACATAAAATTTATTTAATCGCGATTAGTTGCCACTTATCAGCCAGCTATGATAATCTAACACAGAAAAATATGCAAGCCTGATTCATACATTTATGGCTTGGACTATTAGTGAGCCGACTCACCATTAATTAGCCGCACTCCTTATCAGCCGATAGTTATTAACAAAAAAATAAAATAAAATAAAATAAACCAAAAATAAAATCATCAGTTACTAATCACTGTACAACTTGAAATGCTATTTATCAAGATTTATTCACACTATTTATCAAAATTTAAATGCATTATTCTTTTCACTATGAAAATTTTCATGACGTTATAACATATTTGTAATTTTTAAATATTTTAAAGCTATTTATTATGAAAATTTTCATGAGGTTATAATTTAATCCTTTTTTAAACATTATTTTTTTAGTCTAAAAATATTTTTATTTTATTTTGATCCCTCTTTTTTATTTCATTTTGATCACTTTAGTAGTTTTTTTTCCCTTTGTTTTTTAATTAAAAATTTTAAGACAAAAAAATATTTAGAAAAAATAATTTATAAAATAAGTTTTTAGCTATTCACTATACCATTTAAAATATTATTCATCATGATTCATTCATACTATTCATCAAAACTTAGATGCATTATTCTTTTCACTATGAAAATTTTCGTGACGTTATAACATTTTTGTAGTTTTTAAATATTTTAAACATATCTATTCTAAACATTTTCGTGACGTTATAATCTAATCCTTTTTTAAAAATTATTTTTTTAGTCTATAAATATTTTTATTTTATTTTGAACCCTCTTTTTTATTTCATTTTGATCACTTTAGTGCTTTCTTATTTTTTTCTCTCGTTTTTTAATTAAAATTTTTAAGAAAAAAAATATTTAGAAAAAAATATTTTTTAGCTAAAAATCCATTTATTTTGATTTTTTTTTACTGTTATATATATTTTTTTGTGGATATATAAAGATAAATAAATAATGTTTCAAAAATTTATGAAAAATATAAAAAAGACAATCAAATCCAAAATTTTGATTAAAAAATTATAAAATTGAACGAATTTTTATTTATTTTTTATTCAATATATTTTGGTATATGCACAATATAACACGGAACTTCAAATTAAAATAATTTATGTGTTCTATCCAATCCGCAATGTAGTGCGGATAAAAAAACTAGTTTATCTTAATAAAAAATTTGCATAAATCCAACTCGATGATAAGCTATTTATTACAAGTTAGTTATTTATATAATACTTTTTCTATTTTAAAAAGATTGTCTTTTTTTTAAAAAAAATCCTTAATTGATAAATAAAATTAATTATTAATTACCTTTTTTCTTTAAACAAAAAGAAATGTTTTTTTTTAAAATACTATTAAAAATGCTAATATATTATTATAATTAATAAATTTTTAAAACTATATTAAAAATCAAAAGAAATAATGTCTCATACAATATATACGTCTTCCATATGCTAAGGATATTTAGGTTTCTTCTGAAAATAAAGGACAAAATTAAGAAAAGAAAGGAAAAAAAAAGGAGATTTAAGCCTTGAGATTAACCTTGAAATATTGTATAGACAAAAAAAAAAGTCGTTTTTTTACTACTATAAATGAGATATTCCAACTTTATATCTCTCAAAGATATTAAAAATGTTAATGTCAATTGAATTATAATTCATTATTACTAAGTGAAAGATTTAAATTAAAATTAGAACAAGCAATATCTCTTATGCATATTTCAAAGTAAATGGTTGTCATAATTCCCCCAATTTTTTTTCCATCTTTTCACGCTAGAAGATTTACTCAATAATTTTTATTTCTCGGTCCATCCTCTCAAAACTTAAAATTTCAATAGTAGCGGTAGTAGTAATAAAACAAAAAACATATTTGTACCCAAATATCACGTGATTCTCACTTAAGTTATATATATAACAATTGTATCTTTCGTTTATCAAACATTATCCAATTAATTTCATGCCTTTAATATCAAATTACATAATTTGAATATCAAAATATCGATTTTTTAATAAATTCAATTCAAAATTTTTAATTATTATTATTCATAATAGTCAACTGAGTTGAAATGAAATATAAAAATAATGTCGTTTTATGTATTCTCCTGTTAAATTTTTTTAAATAAAAGTTTAGAATTAGAGGGGTTGAATTCACTACTCGAGCAAAGAGAAGGAAAATGGTCAAGCCAATGATTCGGTGTTCGTTGTTTCCTCGTTAAATCAAGCAGAAACAATCCAAGAACCGTTTTGGGTTCAATTCAAATTTCAACTTTCTTTTTTCTACTACTATTATCTACTGTAAAAGCAAGACATCAATTTTTAGTGGATGTGGTGGTTGTAAGGGTTTCAAACAGTGACATTTCAGGATGATTCATGGGTTGTTTGTCAGTCGGTTCTCAATGGTTGTTAGGTTGAAAGGCTAGCTGAGATGAAATCGGGAGTTATGACAATGGTGAGGAGCAATGAAATTGAGGCTTGTTTGTGGGGGAAAGAGGCTGGCACTGGATAGTGGTTTTTCAACAATGTGATGGTTTTGGGTTTAATGGGATTCAGGCTGAGAGGAACTCGAGGCTGCCAAGGTGAGGGGGATCGATGGTAGTGGGCTAGGGTTGCTGTTGTGGCAGAGGTCGACAACAGTGGCTATGGTGGGTGGAGTTGCTGTGGCAATGATTGACGTAAGTAGCCGTGGTGGATTAATTTGGTATTTGGGCAAAGAAGAAGGCGGAAACACGTTGGGCCAATGATTTGGGTTCGGTGTTTCCTGGTCGAACTTTTTTTCAAAACTTTTAAAAGTAAAAAAATTAACAACGGAATACACAAAGCATCATCGTTTTGGCATTCCGTTTAACGGTCAATCCAGGGATCCAACTGAGAATATCTTTCGTTTTATACCCAATTGAGGATTGGAGGATCGTTGGGGATTAATGCGTCCTCTGCCCTAAAAATTCAACAAAAAGAAAACTTGTATTGAAATCGATAGGATTCTATTGCACATTGGCAAGAGAATGGTAGCATGGTAATCCATAGAAAACACATAGGTGATCTTCATATATACTTTCAGTTTACTTCTTTACACCAGATATATATATATATATATATATATATATATATATTTCTCCTTCCACGGAAGAGAAAAATCGTTCGCTAACTTGTGGGAATTATTATGGTTCTACTGATCAGTAGAACCAAATTGGTAAATGAGAGAACAAAAATTATATGGAATGATTATACGATAGGTCCACATGCACGTCCTAAATTAGAAAATAATCATCACAACCCTGGAATGCAAACTCTCTCTAGATTTTCTTCCCTTTCTCTCTTAGTAATGTCTAAGGTAATGTTCACTGTTGAGAGTTAAACTGATTCTGTAACGCATTACCTTAGAGTTTTAACCTGCTGTAGTGCATTTCTTTCCAAATTAAGCTGCCCTGGGCCACAGAAATTAAGGTATTTCTTTTCCATTCCAATTGTAGATAAACAAAAAAATCAGGATAGATTTATGAGCTCGTTAACAAACGTTGTTTTCATTCAACCACAATATTCTCCAGTCATCCTACCTCTATTCTCATTCTCATCATCAACATTCAAGCATGGCTGCATTAATCTCACTATAAAAACCTGATAAAATCAAGTAGACATCATGCACCCATCCATGTTAGTATTACTCTCCTTGCATGGAGCCTTCAGATATTTCAAGCATTTCTTGTCTCATAACTTCTTCATCTACTAACCACAATGATATCGAGCCACTCGATCTCTTTCCAGGCACTAGTCATAATCCTCGTGACCCTATACCATTTCTGAGCTCCGTAATTAATTCTCCAGAGGTATCATTCAGTCATCAAAATCTTAAAGCAAGCAATGAAGACATGGATGCAGATGTTATCGTGGCCTTGCGGATTGGCCTTCCTGATTATTCCCATAGCTCCACGAATCAAAATGTTAAGGGAAATGCCATTGTAGCGGCTAAACAATATTGGATACCAACTCCTGAGCAAATTCTTATCGGCTTTACTCATTTTTCTTGTCATGTCTGCTTTAAGACTTTCAACCGCTACAACAATCTTCAGGTTCAACTTTCAAGTCACATGCCTGCCAATTAATTAACTTTTGTGTATTAATACTTGTTCAATGTTTATCATATATAAATAGTTGCATTATTCTTGTTTCTTTAACATTTCATTTTGCTGCCAACGAGTTTGTACTCAAATGGCACTCATGTCCCTTTTTCTCCAAGTTAGAGTCTTTTGTCAAAAAAAAAAAAAAAAACTCCTCGTTTTGCTCATAATCTTCCACTTCCATATCTCATGATTTCTGTGGCAGATGCACATGTGGGGTCATGGATCACAGTATCGCAGAGGACCTGAATCGCTGAAGGGAACACAGCCACGAGCCATGTTAGGCATTCCATGCTACTGTTGTGTTGAAGGGTGCAAGAACAATATCGAACACCCAAGAGCAAAGCCCCTAAAAGATTTTCGAACATTGCAAACACATTACAAGAGGAAGCACGGGCTTAAGCCGTTCATGTGTCGCAAGTGTGGAAAATTCTTGGCTGTTAAAGGCGACTGGCGAACGCACGAGAAAAATTGCGGCAAGCGTTGGCTTTGTGTTTGCGGCTCTGACTTTAAGCATAAGAGATCACTCAAAGATCACATTAAATCATTTGGCTTAGGCCATGGTCCTTTTCCCCCTTCATTTGATGTCGTCGAGCTACTTGATGATGTTTCATCTCCTCCTATTTAAAATTGTGGCGAACCGCTAGGTACATATATTAAGGGTTTATTTTTACTAAAGCCTAGCTACCATATCTCAATTAGTCTAGTAACTAAATCTGTTCGGCAATGGTATATAAGCGTTTTTACGCTTACATGCGTATTGGTTTACGCTGTTTAACAAAAAATAATATGATGTTTCTTTTGCCCCTCAAAAATATCAGTGCCATAGCAGCGCACGTCTAATATAAAAACTAATTTAGAGCTGATCTAAAAACCTCCTTGATATCTAACCTGATTGTGCCAACGGGATGCCACGGCCTTGGAGGCCACTGGCCAGTGGTCGTATAAGGGAGCACTTGTCTGGAATGACACGACCAGTAGCCATCCATATGGTTTAATGATGACTTTGGCCCCCTCAGTCCCTACCGGTCACCATTGTGTCATAAATTAATTTTTATATTCATTATATTTCAAACTTATAAATTGTTAATAATCACTGAGCAAACAAATGAGTCATTCATCGAAAAGCGATTTAAGATAATAATAATAAGTTTTTTATTTATGTAAATATATATCTATTAATATAATTTAATAAATATATTTATAATTTAATATTTTAATTATTTTAATAATGTAAGAGTATGTGCAACCAATCCAAGATATAATTATTAAAAAGTAATAAAAAAAATTCATTATTTTTAAATATAGATATTATTAATAAATATTTGAATGTTGGAAGAGGAGAGAAGACACGTAGGCTTTTGAAATGAGTTTAAGGTAACTTTGACAAAAAAATAAAAATAAAAAAATAAAAATGATGAAAATCTAGATTTGGAGAGTCAAAACCAATGGCCGTAATTTTTCGTTGACTGTTTTGTCACTCAAAGTTGCAGGAGCCAACAATGAGTCATTAACGACTTTTTTTTATATATATAGATTGGCCCTCCAGTCCCAAGGCTCACTTGTTCAACTCGCTTCTTTTCTTTTTCTTTTATATTTTAATTTGAATTTTTGTATTTCTTTCCTTTTGTTTTCCCTAAAAAAGTTATTAATTTTTTTCTAAACTATTCATAACATAAATTTTTTTATTTTTAAAAAGTATCATTTTAATTGTTTGTAATCTTATGCATTGAGTGCATGAATCAAACCATTTTTCCCCTTAATTTGGTTTATTTGGGTCTTCATACAATAAAATCCAAAAATAGGTCAATATCTTAATCCTAGGTTAAATTTAATTCTTGATTATACAAAATGTTGTTATTACGGTTTTTTAAATATAATACGGGATGATTTAAAGAATGTTATATTCATCAAATATTGGATGTATTAAAAATAAAAAATAAAAACGTTTCAGCATTACATGTTGAATGGATAAAAGAATTAATTACTGAATTACGCAATCTATTATATATATTTGTCGACAATATTTTCTATAAAAAGATAAGTATTTATTAAAATTTTAATGTATAAAATTTTGATAAAATCAAAATTTACGATCATCAAATCATTTGGAGTACAAAAAATATTTGCTAAAAGTAGCAAGTGTATAACTGGATTTTAAAATAGACAATTTGTAAATTGTATAAATTTATCATAACTTTTCTTATTGTCATGGTTTAATATTTGACAATTTTCTTTATGTGTTTTTCTTTATTCATCAAAACATTTTTAATTAATATTGATTGATTTTAATTTTATGTACTTAAATTTTCATAATTTAAAATACCAAGACATATTTTACTGGTCTCGAAACTAATATGTTTGTGTTTTATTCAAACTGAATAAAGGATAATAATCTATTACTACTCAACGGTGCCAGGAGAATCCATTGTCGGCAAATATTTGCACCGCACATTCCAGACGAATTTCTGTGACGACCGAATCCAAAACAAGCGTCTTCTCGTTCAATTCAAGCAAACGGTTGGCCAAGATGCAATCCGATAAGGCTCTCCAACTCCAAGCCATGGTTCAGCATTCGTGTCGCACCCGTTCGTAATTATTAATTAACACTAAATACTCTTTGATTATGGTGTCCTGTTAAAAACAAAATAGTTGTTTAATTAGGTTTTGGTATAGAATGGTAATTAGTATTTTCGTCTGTACTACGTTGCGGGTTGAATAAAATATATAAAATAATTTAGAGAAATCATTTTAGTTTGATAAACTGTTTTATAGCGTGAATCTATAAAAATATATAAAATTAAAAATGAAAAAAATATTTAATAAAAAATTTTATATTTAACTATTTCTTATTTGTGTTTTCCATAATTTTTTATTTAGAAAAAGGATTTATCCTTATTAATCCATGAATTATTAACTAAAAAAAATTAAATAATTTTTTTAAAAACCTTTAGTATTTCATAAGATTGTGTTAAAAAACATAAACAAAAATTATTAAAAACTTACATAGAAAAGAATAATTTTTTTATTTAATGTTGATAAGAATATTGATTTTTTAAAAAATATGAATTTAATTTTTATATATTTATTTATAAAAAAATAAATAATATTAAAATAAAAAATATATTAATTTGAATCATTTAGTGGTTAAGCCAAAACATTATTTTAATTATTTAATTCAAAAATAAATAAATAACATTAAAAGCTTAGTATAGAAAAATAATATTATTATAATATGATCATAATATTAATAATATATTACTATATTAAAAAATAACAAATTAAAATAGTAAATTTTAAATAATAAAAATTTAAAAAAAACACTAAAACAAAATGAGACCAAATGACAATACAATTAAAGTTTGAAATTAAAAAAAAAATTGAGGACCAAAGTGCTAAAAAAATGACATAAATAATAAAAAGAATAATGATTTATAAATGTATGGATAATATTTTAAATAGTAAAAATAAATAATAAAACTATATTTTATGTTAGTGTTTTTTTTCTAGTAACTTGGATCTTTCATGCATAAAAAATTAGAGACGTTTGTGGCATCCAGGGTGTGCCAATATTAGAAAATGCCATCTGAAGAGGTCCTCTGTGGATGGCACCTCTTCCCCAACCAAAAATTGCCATGTGCCTAGAAGTTAGAAAGATGCCTTCGCGATCTCTCAAGATAAGAACCAACCGTTGATGCTTCTTTATCGTTAAGATGGATACGTACTATCAAACAAAGTGGAGGACACCTCCGATTGAAATTGACGAATTTTCGGCTTTATATAATTTATAATAGATGATGAAGGATTGGTTATAATTGTTGCAAATGACAAATATCGTGCCGTGTTTTGTCCTATCAAAATCATTTAACTCGTTAAAATATTTCTCTTTCATCTCATATTTTTTAAAAAGGTTTTACTGTAAAAATTACATTTATAATTTGATAATTTCATATATTTTTATTAATTTATATAATTTGAACTCTTAAATATTGATTTTTCAATAAAATTATTTAAATTTTGCTTACTTCCTTATTTATAAGGATGAATCTCCTTTTACTGTTAAGTAAAATATTTAAACGATGTCTTTTAAATATTTTATTATTTTTTAAAAAAATTTAAAGTTTATCAGCAGCAGCAACCCTTTATCATGGATGGGAATGTCAGAAATCAAGAAATGGTTTGCAATTTTGCAAACTCATATGGCCAAAGATTGTCCTTGTTCCATGATCTCAATCTAACTATTGGAGCGCCTGTTTGGACGGACTCTAAACAACTGGTTGTTGATGACAAGAGAGCTGTTTTAAAAGGTCATTCGCTGATGATAAGGGATTATTTGGTATTATTATTGTGTTAATATATGTCGATGACATTGTTATTAGACGAAATGATAATGAAGGAATTAGTAGTTTAAAAAACTTTCTCAAAACCAAATACTTTCTTCGCGTTGAAGTAGCTAACTCGAACAAATATCTTTTTTATTTCTCAAAGAAAATATACTTTGTACTTGAAAAAAAAAAAACTGAAAAGCTAGCTGCAAAACTTTTTTATACTTCCTTGGTTAGAACCATAAACCTGACATGTCTTCAGGCAAGCCTTTTAATGATGAATATCAAAGTCACGCACATGTAACGGGATGCAAATTGACCGGTTGGTGTCTTAGATAGAAGATACGGATATTGTACATTGGTTGAAGGTAATTTAGTAACTTGGAAAAGCAAGAAGCAAAAATAGTTGCTCGATCAAGTGCCTAGGCTGAGTATCTCAAAATTACCGCAACCACTAGTGAGCTAATTTGGTTAAGAGCTTTTCTCCAAGTTCTGGGATTTCAAACACCTCTTCCAGTGAACATATATTGTGATAATCAAGCTGTTACTCACATTGCCTCCAATTCCAATTTTTATGAAACGATTCAATACATCAAAGTTCATTGTCATTTTGTACAAGAAAAAGTGTAAGCCAAAATTATTAGAAGGCTAATTGGTTCAATAGTACATTGTACTATGCGTTGATCATAAACTAGTGCCTTGGGTTAAATTTTTTTCAATTCGAGTATCATAACTATTTTTTGGTTTGTAATCAAATCCGTTGATCCAATTAATCAAATTCCGTGCATGTTTTTCACACGTGATGCCGACATGGTCCAATAAATAAAAGACACGTGGACTTTGTCCTTTTTCCTAACCAACTTGATACGGTGAAATTACAGATTACCTCAACTCCTAAATTAAAACAAAAAATGAGAATTTTAAGAAAACTTATATAATTTAATCATCCTCTCTCCATAAAGATTTGTTTTCTTCCTCTTTTTATGTTTTTTCTCTCTCACACTCGATCCTAACCGTTCCACTCGAATCCAATCATCGATCTCTTCCTCCCACGGCCCGATCGCACACCTTGTTGTTGCACCCATCCAATCGATCCACTCATAGCTCTCACCTCCTCAATCCCACTAGTCTCGCAACCCCTTACAGCCTTCATCGCACCTCCACAACCCAAACACCTCTAGTCTCACAGTCGATCATTTCGTCAAAATGCCATATACCACAAACTCGATCTCCACCACACCACCACGAACCCCAAACACCCTAGCAGACCATCACCAATTCTCTTTAATTAAATCAAAAATTAAATATTAAGCATGAAGATAAAGAATAACTTAAGAAAGAGTTTTTGAACTATTAGGAGAGAGAATGATGGAAGAAAGGAATAGATGTTTTTGTTTGTTTAGTGTGTCAAAGCATGGGAATGAGTTACACAAAAAAAAAGGATGATTTGAACAAATATAAATCCTTCAAAATCTCTCATATAATAGCATTGCACAAATGAAGAGTTTTTGAAATCTTAATTGAAATCTTGTTTGGTGCGTCAAAGCATGGGTGAGAATTTTGGAGAGTTTAGAAAAAATAAAAAGTGAAAGAGAGGAAAGGAGGGGAAAAAAGAATAATGGTTACTTGGGATTTGGTCAACAGTGGCTAGCAAACTTGATTATAAACTAAAAAATAGTTATGGTACTTGAATTAAAAAAATTTTAATTCGAGATATCAATCTATGGTCAATGAACAGTACATGGTACTATTGAACCAATTAGCCTTATTAGAGCACCTTATGTTTGAAGTGAAGATCAATTGGTTGATATTCTTACCAAACTTGTCCCTACGTCTCACTTCAAAAACATCTTGTCCAAGTTGGATTCAATTGACATTTACATTCTAACTTGAAGGAGCGTGTTGAAAGATATTTATATACTTTGTGGAGTAGGCATATTGCTTTTCTTGTTTTCTATTCTAATTATGTGAGTTGTTTTTTAAAAAAAAAAAATTGAAAGGAGAGTTTACGAAAAAACTCTAAAACAAACTAGTTACAATAAAATAAAGGAAAACTGACCTCATGTATATCTTTTAAAACAATATAAAAACAACCAAAATAAATAGTTAAAAAATAATGACAGCCAAAAGTCTAAAAAAGAGAGCATGATTTACCAATTAATCTATATATCGATTAATCTCTATAAACACATAAGTAGTTTGTATCCGTCAAGATAATTAAAGGAGTAATTTGATTGTATTGACTAATTGATCATTGCCTATATCAGCACTTAAATGACTCGAGATAATTGAATAGTAGCTTTAGAACCAGATTCTAATTTTATTTTTCTTAATCTCATATTTCAAGCCATTTATAATTTAGTATAAATAGCTCATAATTTAGCTCTTATAATAGAACAACTACTAATATTTTGAGCAAAATCCCAATCCAAAAACCAGAATCGTTCTTTCTAATTTCTGTGGTTTTATGTGAGATGTTTTTTTTTCGTTGATTTCAGCTTGCAACTATTGGTTTTTCTTTGAATGCGTTCACCACTTAAAAATATTAGTGGTGGGGTGTCTCTTGGTTAAATTAAAAATTATATCCATCATCCAATAGGACAATCCAAATACAAAACTTATAATTACATGGAGTGGTAAGAGTTGTCTGCTTTGTTTTGTACCTTTTTATATTAAAATGACTTTGCATAAAAGATTAAAAAATATATTAAATAATGGTCTACAGGAAAGTCCAACTATCGAACTCTATTACTTACAAATTCAATTAACTACTGAATATAATCAAATGCATGCTCTCACTATGTTTTTGGTGTTTTTCTTTATAATAAACTTAATTAAAGAAACTAAAAGTCCACAAACAAATTCCAACCTAATCACGATTGTAAGTCGAATTAATCAAATATCAATTTCGACCAATTTGATCTAACAACTTTCACCTTTCAAGCCTAATTTAATCTAAATTAGGTAATTATGTTATCAATTTCAAAGTTAAACAAATAACAGGCTCTTGTATTATTAATTCCTAAAGTAAAATTGCAATTCTCAACAATTCATAAAAAATATTTTTTAAAAATATTTATATTCATTGAAGAAACATTTTTTACATGAATTGGGATCCTTTCATACATGATTTTTAATAGAGTTCACAGTACTACATATGGAACGGCCAAACACTTACAGACACATATTATAGTACAAGCAAGTTCAATAATCAAATTATAGCCTACCAATTACCAGCTACTAATTATGTCCTACTAAGTTTCAGTGATATTAAAAATTGAGAGAGTACTCTCAGAACTTTGTGTAGTTTGCAAGTTTGATTATTGTTGAGTAATAGTTTTTCTCTTTGCTGCAGCTTAATTGTATTTATACCTCCTCACTCTTCCACGATCTCTTGTGATGCTCCATGTTGTTCATTCTGTCTTCATGATACGCACTTTCCTTTGAATTTGAATAGTATGGTACCATCATGTGTTTTTTCAAAATATAATTTTAATTATCTTATTTGAGAAATTCATTTGAAAGAATCCCTTTTTTTTAATGAAAAAAAAATAGCAGTAAATATTATGTGTGTTGTGTGCTTATGCAATCCCTGTAAAATTGATTTTCATGAATTTTAATTGTATAAAAAAAAAGTAAATAAAACACATAGATTTTTTTTTTCATTTTAACATATATTTTTATTTTCAAGCTATGCATGTTTGATCTTACTGCGTGGATTTCGCATTTATAACTGTGTCTTCTTTTTTCTTCGGTACTTACTCTTAATTATTAATTAATTACTTAAAAAATTTAATTTTTTTTTGTATAATCACTTTCAACCTTTAGATCAAAGTATATGTATTTAAAATTATGATAATCTCATTTAAAAATTATAAAAATTCATCATAAAAATTATATTTATTTAATAAAAAATCATGTTTATAGGAATTTATTCCAATATCCAAACTTGAAAAAAATTAAATCATATTTATAAATAAATAAAAACTAATAAAAAAATAGTTGTATAAGAATTTTTATAAAAAATAACAAATTAAAAAGATAAATTTTAAATAATAAAAATAATATAATTCAAAATATATGTGAAATCGAGATATCATTAATATTTCTTTCTCGTTAGATTTCGAAAAACTCAAAAGATAAGTATGAGTTTTTTGAAAGCTGAGAACAAAATCAAATGATAAAATAATAATAATAATAAATAAATAAAGTTGGGTTGCAAGTGCCCGAACTGTACCTTTGGACATGGAGAACTAGGCCCATAAGTGCACAGACTGGATACACAGACTAGCCTTTTGAAAAAACAAAAAAATGAAATGGTGGATGATGCATTGCCTACGCAATTTCCGACTGAAAAATCAGATCACACAATTAATTTCTTCATTATTTTTATTCAAAATAGCTGAAATTAGCTAAAAGAAAAACTTATTTAAAATCTTAAAACTGATTTTAATTCATCAAAAAAACTAAAAAATTCAAAAATATTTTGAGACCTCGTTCTCCTTCTTCTAATTATTTTACAACATTCGACCATTATAAACAAATTTTTTTTTCAATATAAACAAATCAAAAATAAAATTAGAGATCAAAGTGACTGAAATGGATCTCGTGTGGATTTTTTTCTCTTTCATTTCTTTCTTTTCATTTCACTTAATATTTAAGGACTCAATCACGATTAAATGAAGTTAAAAATCAAAGCAAATATTTTAAAAAATAAAAAGATCAAAATACAATATTTATCAAAACTTACATATAAAATGTCTCAATAAATTTCAAAAATTATAGCAATACCATATCAAATGTCTAAACAAATGTCGAAATTACAATGATGCTTTTCAATACAATAATATTAAGTAAATAGTTCTTATAATTATGAATAAATAGTAATTTAATAATGAAATGAGTATAGATAAATATTAAATGAATAGCAAAATATTCATTTGTTTTAGGTTTTCTTGTTAGTTAATATATGCTTGGTGTGATGATAAGCACTTAGAATTTTCATTTTAAGGTTTTAGGATCGAAACCCATGAGAAGATAGAAATGGAATTTGAGGAGGAGAATAGATTATTGCATATAGTGCGTGATGCATTAAGCTTTCTCGTGAAAATCAAGTTATTCGTCAAATGAATTCCAAAGTGCTTTCCAAAGTGCCAAACAATAGAATATTTAACTAAGGCCAAATGTTTAGAATAATTATTTTTAGTTGGCATCTACCGTTTTTTTTTTTTTTTTTTTGACCCAGAGGTAGCATGTAGATAAGGAACATTTTGTTGGAAACATAAAATACGTTACTAGAAAAAGAAAAAAGAAAAAGAAAAGAAAAGGAAAAGACAAATAGGAAATGTTGGAGGAGAAAAAAATTGGGTGACAACACGTCAACGCTTCACCAATAAAAAGTTAAAAGCTGCCCTGCCGGCCTCTATATACAGACACACCCCATGCAATGATGCAAAGTAGCCAAACAGAAAGAGAGATGGTTTCTTTAGTCACCGAAAAATTTCCTCCTCATGCGGTATGCGTCCCATTCCCAGCCCAAGGCCACCTAAATCCAATGCTCAAACTAGCAAAAATTCTTCATCAAAAGGGGTTCCATATCACATTTGTTAACACAGAATTCAATCATCGACGCCTCTTAAAATCAAGAGGACTTGATTCCCTCAACGTCCTCCCAACTTTTCGATTTGAAACAATTCCTGATGGACTTCCACCTTCAGATGCTGACTCCACCCAGCATGTGCCATCTATCTGCGACTCCACCAAGAAAAATTGTTTACCTCCTTTTAGATACCTTCTATCCAGACTCAATAATACCTCTTCTTCCAAAGTTCCTCCAGTCACATGCGTAGTCTCTGATTGCATCATGAGCTTTACACTCAAAGCTACTCAAGAGCTAGGCATTCATAATGTTCTTTTCTGGACAGCCAGTGTTTGTGGCTTCATGTCGTATTTGCACTATCGCCCTTTAATTGAAAAGGGTTTTGTGCCTCTTAAAGGTACTAATTATTTTTTGAGCTTCTAGACTAGCTAGATTTTACCACAATTTTTTTTTTTTAACTACTGTAAGTATATGCTCTGCAATTGCAAGGTTTTTTTTTTTTTTTCCTGCGTGATTTGAAGTTGTTAATACGATAAAATTATGGTCTTGATATGGCCTTTTGGGTGACATGCAGATGAAAGTTACTTAACAAATGGGTATTTGGACGCCGTTATTGATTGGATTCCTGGCATGGAAGGTATCTCCTTGAAATATTTACCAAGCTTTCTCAGAACAACAGATCCTGAAGATATCATGATCAATTTTGCAATTGGAGAAGTAGAGAATGCTGGAAATGCTTCAGCAGTTATTTTCAACACTTTTGATGACTTGGAGTCAGAGGTCTTAAAGCCTCTTACTTCCACCCTCCCTCATCTCTACACTATTGGTCCTCTTCAGTTACTCCAAAATCAGGATCAAGGAGATGGCTTGAGTTCTATAACATGTAATTTGTGGAAAGAAAACCTGGTTGTATTGAATGGCTCGATTCAAAAGAACCAGAATCGGTTGTTTATGTCAACTTTGGTAGTGTCACAGTCATGACCCCACAGCAACTAATTGAATTTGCTTGGGGACTTGCAAACAGCAAGTGCACTTTCTTATGGGTCATTAGGCCTGATCTTGTCGTTGGTGATTCAGCAATTGTTCCTCCAGAATTTGTCGCTGAAACAAAAGAAAGGAGTCTATTAGCAGGTTGGTGTCCACAAGAACAAGTCCTGCGTCACCGGTCAACTGGAGGGTTCTTGACCCATAGTGGATGGAACTCTACAGTAGAGAGTTTGAGTGGAGGAGTGCCTATGATTTGTTGGCCTTTCTTTGCAGAGCAACAGACAAACTCTTGGTTTTGTTGTAATAAGTGGGGCGTAGGGATGGAAATAGACAACGATCTTAAAAGAAATGAAATCGAAAATCTTGTTAGAGAATTAATGGAGAGAGATGAAGGAAAAACAATGAAGAATAAAGCGAAGGAATGGAAAAGAAAGGCAGAAGAGGCCACTGCTAGTCCTACTGGGCTTTCATACTTGAATTTAGAGAAACTAATAAACGAAGTGCTTCTTGCTTCACCGCATGAAATTATTGGAGATATGATTCTCCAAGGAACAACTGAACTTGAAATCGGTGGCGAAAGCTAAGGATTTGGACACGGATACCCTGTGTGTGCTCATTACTTTCTCTTTCGTTCCTTTCTTGTTCCTGTTGCAATTATAAGGTCTGTCTTCTTGGCAGTGGCGGGCGCATGACTCAATATGCTGGTTGATCAAAATAAATATTTATAAATTTATGTAAAAATTTATCTTGTTTTACATAAATTTATATATATTATAAATAAAATATCAATATATATTTTAAAATAATCTTAAAATACAATCATTGAAAATAAATTTTTTTATTCTTTCAAATCACAAAAATCATCTACAAGTCAATATATATTAAAATTTTTAGTATTTTTTTTTAATATACACTAACAAATAAAGAAAGTAATCTTCTATCTTGTTACGAAGCTTAATCTTAATTATGCTCATAACTGAAAATGACAGTTCCGTGATTGTAATAATCTCGATGATGCTTATAACTGAAAGAATAAAAAATTTTATTCTTTCAAATCACAAAAATCATCTACAAGTCAATATATATTAAAATTTTTAGCAATTTTTTTTTAATATACATTAACAAATAATCGGAAAAAAAATTATCTTCTATCTTGTTACGAAGCTTCATCTTTACTATACTTATAATTGAAAATGATGATTCTGTGATAGTCATAGAAACTAAAAAAATAAGAATATTTGTTATCACTCTATATATAAATAGATAATATTCAAAATTTTTTATTTTCATCGGCTATTGACACAAATCAGATATAGTTGATAATGTTTCGAAAAAAAAAATTTAGTTTCATTTAAAAAAAATATGGCAGAGGATAGAACATAAATATGTTAATATTCAAAAAATTATATAAATTATATCATAAAATCTTGCTCAATATCTTAAATATTTTGGTCGAAATGGGTTTTTTTAAACTTAGTATAGAGTCTTATGGATCAAATAGCTATAATTTTTAATTTTAATTGAATAATTAAGGACAGAAAGCAGAAAACAACACTTCAAGACGCAAGCACAAACCAGGTACAGCAAAAAAAAAAAAAAATGTATTTGTATTTCTGTTGTGCAAATTTGACATTGAAAGTTTGTTCTACCGCCGACAGGCTGCCAGACAACCTGTTAAGAAGGTTGCAGAAGGCACATGTTATGGAAACTTGAATCCAGTGGTAAATAATGAAGCAATGAATTTGCAGTCCAAGCCACTGTCAAAGCCTATACGGAGGAATCACAGAAGATCTTGGACGCCGGAGCTTCATGAAAGGTTTGT